GGGACGTTTGTTGAACAATGAAAGCCAGATTAGTTTGCTATATACATATTTTATGAATTCAAAAAATTAGCATGTAATTATACAACCAAAAATTTACAGCAAATTAAAAGAAAAATTGAAGAACAAAAACCAGATTTTTGGAATATTCCATTTGTTAGAATAGTGAAGAAAAGAAACACTATTCACAGCGATTCAATATGGGGTGTGTCAACATCCTCGAGCTAAAAAAAAGGCTTAGAAAAAGGCAGTGTTCAACAGTAACAAATAGAGGAAACCGAGAAACTGAATAATAAAACTGGGTTGTTTGAAAACAAAGATAAAATCAATTGAGCTATATATTATGAACGACGAAGCATTTTGGTAGAAAACGAACCGAGCAGAACTTAAGCAAGGGAAGCATTCGGAAACCTTCATTGAACACAGGATACCGAGTGGTGAGAAGCATCTGTAAATCAAGAAAATCATAACCAATTGTGCTCAAAAAGTCATTCTTAATAAATTGGTGGTTATTGAAAAAAATTTGAAAACAAAGATAAAATCCTACTGATGGGCTGAAATATTTATAATGAGCTCGAGACAGCTTGAAACCTAGAACCCCTACACATGAACCCTTTAACAAACCGTGCTTCAACAAACCTCAGTTGCTCAAAAACGGCAATTCATCGTTAGCCTCTACTCTTTTCCCAGAAACCGCAAAATCTATCGTCAGAATAAAACTAAACTCACTATTTTTGAAGTAGCATGAACAGAAAATTTGAACAAAGACTGCGGCTGATTGGTCGATCAAGTGGGTGGAGCAGAGGAGAATGGTCACATTTAGCGATTATCTGCAAGAAAACATTTCTCTCGACTACCGAAATTTAGTGTCTAACTCACCGTATTATACATACACAAGTTGGGAAATAGGAGTTGGAACGAATTGATGAGAGAGGAGAAAAATGAGAGTATATAAACTATCTGAAATCGTGAGTTGTTTGTAGATCATGCTGCTTACCTGGTTTCTTTGTTAGCATATTTCTTTTTATACCAATCACACCAACAATGAATAGGGCATCGAGATTTCTGAAATAAAAAAAATGCATCGATTTACTCGCAATATTTCGACTCACCTTGGCGGATTTGTCAACAGATGGGAGCATACGCAGGACAATAGCATCGTAAGCCGCATACATGATCTGGTCGATGTTCAGGTAAGGGGCGGTCCAATCCGACATCGTTTCCTGTTTGTCGACAAAGATCCCGATTGCATCCGCAGATGTTTTCAGAGGAATCAGACAAGTGTCTTCATAGAAGTTTTGAAAATTCTCACACTGGCCTGTGCTGGTATTAACGTAAAAAAAATCTTCATCGTCATAGCGGCGGGTTATGCTGACGTTACGAAGCATTCTCTGAATCTTTTCCAATCCCTTCTCGTTGAAATGGTGGACACGGAATAAGAGCACTGTTCTTGATGGAGCGTCAAAGATTTGGAGCAGTGCCAGCTTTGCGAACTCTCCTCCTCGAATATTGTGGTGCGAGTCTTCCGTATCGATGTACAACGGCTCCTCGGTTCGGCGATTTCTGAATTGCCATAAGATGTCCAATCCTCTACTCATATCACGTGTGATAATAATTTTGTTTTCGTCCACCTGTGGGTAGAAGAGCTTTTGGGGCATCTTCAAAATCATTCCACTCAGACTCTCAGCCCTGATTCTACCCAACAACACTTGGTGAATCTGAAAGAGGAGTTTGTAGGGCATGAGCAGTAATCCTTCGTCCATCAACCGTGTTATTTCTCTCATGATCCTCCTCCCGATGTAGTCCTCGAAATCCCCAAAACGTCCTCAGTAAGCAACAAGTCCGGCGACGGCTTTGGCGCTTATCACCTTCCCGTCGTCATAAAGATTCTCCAAAATTTGAGAAACTTTCTGGTGGCGAGAAAGTTCTGTCGGCAATTCGGAGCCATCCGAATACATCTTCTTAAAGAAAAAGTGATAAAATTTGGATCTTTCCGGTTTTTGAGGTCCCAATGAGCGAATGATTGGTCTTCGAAAAAGAACATCATTCAAAAACAGAAAAAGAGGTCCTCTGAATATTAGTCCCAACACAGCTGGGGTCATTCAACTTTTCGAAAATCTAAGTTCAAGTGAAAAAAAGCATGCTAGCTTGTATCTGTAAGATACGTTTTGTCTAAGGATCATTCTTCAAATATCTTATTAGTCTCAATCATCCTAACCGTCAACAAAATGTAATATGTGACCGCTGTCCCGTCTGGAGACAATATGGAACTTGTGAATTCCATATTTGACCCTACTTATTTTATTTGGAACTCTTTTTTCTGGTTGTCGACCAGCCTTTACTCCGTTTGACCAATGATCAGCACGAAGGAACTCAAGAACCGGTAAGAGCTTGAAAGTTGAATATTCCGTTCAGAGAAATGAAGAAAGTGAGAAAAAAACATGCAGTAACAAATACAACAATTGAAGGTGTGCCGCCAGTCAAAACAAAACTTTTTCACAAAATTTCACGAGATTAGGAGGAAAAGAATCAACGGCGGTATACAATAGAAACCTCGAAGTAGGGTGGGAGAGGAAAGAGAAGGAATAAAGGAATATTAGTGAGATTTCAAACGGATTCGAAATGTCCCTAAAAAGTAGACGTCAATGTAACATAAAACCATACTTGTGAAATCGCGGGCCGGCCCGCGGGCCAAGCGGGCCCGGCCCGGATTTTCCCCGGCCCGGCCCGGCCCGCTCTTTTTTGTCTCCTTCAGTGAAATTTGTCCTCGTCCTCCTTCGTCAATCGCTCTTTTCCGGAGAAAATAATATTACTCATTTGTTTCTTCAAACGAACAAACACCCCATGAAAAGTCCTGAAATGGGTTCCTTCAAAATTTTGAATCGTTGATTCTTTTTTTCATCAATACGAGAATAGTACATCTCACCTTTCCAATGAGAAATAGTACTTGAAATTAGAATTGCTAAAAATGATAGTGACCCTGAAAAGGATTGAGTGACATATGTTATTATTAGTTGACCTCTCATGCTATCTTCAAAAGCACGTGCTCAACGGTGCCACTCTATAGATAATTTCCTGAGTTAGTAGTATAGCACATACACTATTACTAGTGATCGTTACATTTAGTGCAGTGAGGAATCGTCATTTCCTTTCACATTAACAGCGTATCAAATAGATTCAGCCCTAAAGTTCTCGCGTGAATTCTGGATATTTGTGAGGACACAAGATCCTC